CATCCCTAATTTATACAGGAATTAAATGAATTTATATCTATTCATATTTATGTAATTAAGTGTTTTAATAATTTGACCGATTAATCGATTCATCAAAAAATTATCGACATTAATCGATTATTAAAATAATCATTAGTTGCAGCCCTAATTTTATTGTCCTCTGCAGACAATTTGACTATATGAACACATTCTGCACTTTAGTGTCTTTGACTAGTCCTTGAATAGTTTAGGTATCAAGCTTTAGTTACAGTTAGGATTGTCTTGTTTTTAACATGTCARTTGATTAAACTAGTTTTTGGTCTCAATAATAGTCCACACTGAGAGACGTACGTAAAACAAATGAATTTATTTATAATGTTAACGATAATGAAAACAATAGATTTTCAGACTGTGCGCACTTAAATAATAACTCCTCTTAAATCTCTGTTCATATGATGAAGTTGTGTTTGTCTCCTGTAGGGACACTATGGACAGTGTGAAGCAGAGCGCAGCRTTGTGTTTGTTACGACTCAACAGGACGTGTCCTGACCTGGTGCCGATGGGCGAATGGACTGCACGGGTGGTCCATCTGCTGAATGATCAGCACCTGGTGAGACTTTGAAGAATTTTTGTGAGAACTGTAATGGTTTTTATTGTGTTGTTCACTTGGATTCTTAGCAGGTTTTGACTGTGTCGTGTGTTTATTGGAAGAGAACTAACTTKCTGAAACACTGTTAACAATATATTCCTAAAATAGATGTGTCAGAAATCGTTTTGTTACTAAACAGCTAAAGCATGAGCAGGGGTGAAATTCAGATTTAAGACTTCAACATTTATTTGCAGATAAATAAAGCCATACCACAGCTGTGTCTCAATCCGTAGACTGCAGCCGACGTGGGCCGTAGGCCGCTCGTGTTGGTTGCATAAACAGCTTTGAAATGAGACTGTCTAGTCTACAACAAACGTGTGTTTGCGTGACCACGCGCTGCCTCATTATGATGGTGATACATTTTATATCACATCGCTTCAGTTGTTTTTTCAAGATATAACTTCACAAATTCAGTTTTAATAGAAAAACGTTACAAGTAAATAAATAAGCTTTAATAATTTGGGTTTAGCTTCAGTATCAGTACTTGTAACTGCATTTTATTTAACAGCTCATTGCAACAAAAGTTTCTTCAGCAAAGTCGCTAAACTTACATTTTTCGGTCCATGATAGAATTCCAAAGTCTGTCATTTAAAAAATAAATAAATAAATAAATAAAAAACTCTTGTGTACATAAAAAAAAAACCTTTGCCGTCTTTGCTTTTCTGTTGTATTTGCTGATGGCACAATGCATTCTGGGATACCGTCAGCTGTGTAAGGTACAGCCGAYGTTTTTGGGTTTTTGTTGGCTGGATTTGTCGGCACCTACAAATTGGGACAGCCTACGGTGCGGAGAAATGCGGCCAACRTTAGCTGTAACCCATGAATTGAGACACAGCCACCACCTTCAGCTGGACCAAGTACAGACATGAATTCAGTCTCAGAGTATTTGGTAAAGAATCAAAACAAATGGCACATATTTATACATTCTTCTTCAGGGCCGGCCACTCTCGTGGACCAAAGACGATTAGGTAATCTCCCACTGTTGAGTGGCCGGCCCTCTTGATACACCAGTCCTGCAACCTAAYGAGGAAAAACTATTTCTTTGTCTGGTGTCTGTTAACTAATCTGTCCTTTAAAAGTACAGTCTGTACTGAGATGACCTATGACACGGGTCACTCTGAACAGAGCGYACATCAACCAATCAGCTCAATCACAGTACATAGAGATATAATTATGCATTTAGATGATAAAAAATATCCTTGATATCCCAATAAAAAATAATGTATTAAAAAAATCAGTGTAAAACAATAGATGTCCCCTTCAGTAGTGTTTAAAAAACAGATTCCACTCATTCCTTCAACTACTTCCTTCAAGGAGTGAGACTTATTTTAAAGGTGGCCGTGGTGATTAGTTCTGTAGGTTATAGGTGTAACATTTATTTTATCTGTTGTTTTCACTAAGATTAAATTTGGTTTTCGATGCCTGTGACATTAATATGTTTGACCATTTAAAATAAAGTTAAACTTGTATAAATAAGAAATGAATTATACAGCTGAGAAAAACCAGAGCAATGTAGCAGAAAGAGCAGTGAGACACAGAGTTAAGACGTCTGACAGAATCTGGGTGAAAGTTGTTTGAGCATCRTTTTTCTGGGTTTGATGTTCTGTAACCTCCTACCCTAGGTGATGGACAACTAGAAAAGTGTAACTAACCATAGGTCTTTTAAACATTTACAGTAGATGAACCATACCTGAAAGTCATGTCTTTGAGAAACATGATACAAATCTAACAAAGACCTAACAGAACCTGAGGGATGCATCAACTTTCAGACGATCATCTGATTTTTGCAGACACCTTATCAGAAATATTCATGGTTAAAAGGCAACCGTAATAAAAAATAAAGTGTGCTCTAAAATKAACACAAAACTGCAGGTATTATATCAGTTCTCACGGATGGTCAGAGATGAGTTAGTTGTTCTAAATAGCTCTGCCTGTTTGTAGGGGGTGGTAACAGCAGCCACCAGCCTCATCGCCACTCTGGCCCAGAAGAGTCCTGATGACTTCAAAACGTCAGTCTCWCTGGCTGTGGCCAGGCTCAGCAGGGTGGGTATCTGTCTCATCTTCTGACATTTTCCATCAGATGAAAGACCTGATCTCAGAAACTGCTGTTCTTTTTTTTTTTTTTCCAGATTGTGACCTCAGCAGCCATCGACCTGCAGGACTACACATACTACTTTGTTGCTGCTCCTTGGTTGTCTGTGAAATTGTTGAGGCTGCTGCAGTGCTACCCTCCACCTGGTACAGTGCAGTGTGGCTTTGTGCCTATAGGGCAAACATTGCTGTTTTAAAAAGATAAACTTTAAATGTATTGAAATTAAATAAGATGTTTTGAGGAAAGTTTAGTGTTAAAAAGTTGATTGGCCGTTGCAGAGGACGCAGCGCTGCGAAGCCGCCTTACCGAGTGTTTGGAGACCATCCTCAGTAAAGCGCAGGAGCCACCAAAGTCCAAGAAGGTCCAGCACTCGAATGCAAAAAATGCTGTTCTGTTTGAAGCCATCACCCTCATCATACACCACGACAAGTARGTCATGTTTTTGTGCTGAATTCTGYTGAGCTTTGCATTTTTGAATTATGAGGGAACAACAAAGATTGGTTTATAAAAACAATAATTTTTACCATAATTTTGTTCTTAGGTTTAATATAGCTGTTAGTTAAACGGAATCTTGAAATCTCTTAGACATGTCTTATCTCAAACCATCAAACTCTTCAAGTTCACTYGTTTGTATTTAGTTCACATTATTGTGTTGTGTATCACCTGTGATGTGTTGTCATCTGGGTCCTGCAGCTTGTTTTTGTGTCTTGTGTCTCAGCGAGCCCAACCTGTTGGTGCGAGCCTGCAACCAGCTCGGCCAGTTTCTGCAGCACAGAGAAACAAACCTCCGTTATTTGGCTCTGGAGAGCATGTGCACGCTGGCCAGCTCMGAGTTTTCTCACGAGGCGGTAAAGACGCATATAGAAACTGTCATCAATGCCCTTAAGGTGAGTTTTTGTGCCCCAGGTTGAGTAGCTGCTCTTCTATCCATCTTTACAAGTAAATAGAGAAAGGATTGTTTAAAAAAAAAAAAAAAAACGTTTGCAGCCTAATAAAACTTGGAGTACCTTGGGTCGCTGTCAGCAAACAGACAGATTTTTTAACTGACTAATGAGGACACAAGAATTTATAAAAGTTGAGGTGACTTAAAAACCAAAAGTACTATTCAAAATGAGCAACTTGAAATAAGAATAAAGAGAGACTTTAGCATCATTCAAAGAGAATCACTAAGAATACATGAAAGAGGAGCTGGGGTCTGTACTACAAAGCAGGATTAGTGGCTTAACGAGGTAACTTTGGGTTCAGTTCGGGATTTTCAGTCAGCTGAGGGTGAAAACTCTTACATTTAGGGAAACTGTTTTTTTTTCAATTGTGTTTGCTTGAACAGCTGACACCAAAAGGAACCTGTGCAGGAACTTCCTTTTTGTAGAGGCTGCAAAAAGGAAGCTCCTGCTTGCTGCTGAATGTGTCTGTGCCCTTTGATTGTGCTAAACATCATTTAAACACTGTCCTGAGGCAAAACAAAAAACCTGATGTTGGATCACAGTACAAATGCAACAACCAAACAAAGAAAGAAGCCTAAGGAAAAAAAGTCAACTTTAGGACTATCTGGATGGCTGCTCCTTTAGAAAAATGTTGTTTTCACATCAGTGCCAGACTCAGTTAATTTGACACATTGATTTTCTTTGTCTGCTATGAAGCAGCAGATTACAGAATAGCCATCACTCACATTTATCAGCCTGCCATGATTTATAATTAATTCATATGTGTGGTATAAAGAAGGAATTATTAAGATGATSAAATGGCTGTGTGCAGATACTGATCTATACTGTGGAACTTACAAAAGGCTGAAATATGAGATTAATTAGCTTTGACAACAGGCTGTTTCTAAAGAGGGCAGAGATGGATTTACGTAATGTGATCTTGGCTCTAACGCGTTTACAGGAGGACAAAAATAACAAGGACTGCAGGAATCATAAAGAAAATAAGATTTGAGGGAATGGTAAGAGATACATGAACTGAAGTCAGTAAAAGTTGGGATTAGGGCTGCTTGATATTAGAAAATCTTGCGATGATGATAATATTTGTAAATATTGTGATGACTATGTTAGGTACGATGTCTTTTTCCCTTTCCTCCATTTCTAATATGTACTTGCTATTTATGTAACCTTYAGCATTTTTGGCAATGTGTCTGGTGTGAGCTTTTACTACCATTAGACTCTGTCCTACTGGCTAAATATTGTATTAACATGGAAAATCCTACTTCAAAACTCCTAAAAATACATTAATAAAAAAAAGATCACAACTTAGTTTGACTCAGGTTTTAACAAGAACAAATCGTTTTTTCCCCAAATTGACAAAGTTGTTTATCAAAATGCGACACTGCAACGTCGTCTTCATCAATCTTTTTATTTCCAGCTCTGTTGTTGTAGTTTGATTCAAATCAATAGTTGTACAGTTGGCAGTTCGGCGACACTCTTTTTTCTTAGCTGTTCTGATACATTTTAATAATAAAAACTAAAGTACTGTTAGAGCATTAAAAGTTAATTTATTTTACATCAAATCATGTTTTATCTTACAACCATATTTTTGCGTTCATTGCAAAAGTCTGACGGCACTTAAGGTAGACATAGGGGTGCACCGATAAATTGGCCAGACGATTTATCTGCACGATTTCCTTAACTTTGGGAAATCAGAGGTCGGCTGATACTTGGGTAAGATTGGTAGAAAAGATCAGCTTCTCATCTACCTCCACAAATGTCTGAAAATCAGCCACTGTCCTCTTTTGCTCTGCTGTGAGCACTACCTAATGTCCAGTTAAAACAACTTTTATTGTTTCAAGGATATTATTCAATGTTTTTCAATAAAATAAAACTGGAACATTGAAGGTGTATTGTGACCTTATTCACCTGACAGTGTTAGATTGTTAAAAAATGGGCATTGACCAAAATTGGAAATGGTAGGTAAGAATATTTAAAATGCAATCGGTGCACCCCTAATCATTTTATGTTTCCTTTAAGTTCCTCCAAAGATGAAGTATTTTGTTGTGGTTTTTCCTGCGCAGACAGAGAGAGATGTCAGCGTTCGCCAGCGGGCCGTCGATCTGCTCTACGCCATGTGCGACCGCAGCAATGCCAAGCAGATTGTGGCCGAGATGCTGAGCTACTTGGAAACGGCAGATTATTCTATCAGAGAGGAGATTGTGGGTCTTCAGTACAGGCCTGTTCAGCATTTCAGTTTCTCAGCGTGAGCGCTCGTCCTCAGCCTCTGACCTCTCCCCTGCAGGTGCTCAAGGTGGCTATCCTGGCTGAGAAATACGCAGTAGACTACACCTGGTACGTGGACACCATCCTCAACCTCATCCGCATCGCTGGCGACTACGTCAGCGAGGAGGTGTGGTACCGCGTCATCCAGATTGTCATCAACAGAGATGACGTCCAGGGCTATGCTGCCAAGACCGTGTTTGAGGTGAGCGCTGAGAGTTTGTGTCCCCCCGGATCAGCATCAGCACCTGCCTCATCAGTGATAAAAGACAAGATTTTTAGCAAATGTGCTTGTTCATTTGAATTAGCATACTCCACAATTGGTGACACAAACAAACAAACAAACAAAAAGAAAACAGTGTGGTGTTAGTGAAAAGTATTTTATACTCTATTGATTGGTAACTTGTAAGGTATAAAAGGTATGTATTTATATGTAAGTGCACAAGTTAGTAAACAAAACAATTAGCTAATCTGTTTTTAGATATTTTAACTTTAAAGCTTCTGTATTTTGGGAAAAAAAAGAATTTCAAATATTTGCCTACTTTATAATGTCATGGTAAGGGTGGCTTTAGTTGAAGAAACACTACTGGAAGGTAAATAAACTCACATTTGCTTAAAAGAAAAGACTCATTTTCTTTAAACGTCAGGAATCATTACTAAGACTTAAAGAATCCTGAAGGAGCATTTCTTGTCAGAAACCAGTGTTTTGTTACTGAGCTTGCTTTTGTTTGCTTCTTATCACCCAGTGTTGTTATGTTGTTTGTAGGCGCTTCAGGCTCCAGCATGCCATGAGAACCTGGTGAAGGTGGGAGGCTACATTCTCGGAGAGTTTGGAAACCTGATTGCCGGTGATCCTCGCTCCAGGTACAGCATGGTCTACAGAGAGTTCAGCTCTTTTGTGTTTATTTGACGTCACACAAAGAAAATTACACCTTTCAAAGGATTAAACTGAAAATACTAAATCCTTCCTGTTTTTTTTTTGTTACTTTCACCAATTTTCAGCGAGACTTCATGTTGAAGGAAATACCGTAACGCAAATTGGTTTATGGTACTATCCAACCTGCGTAAGGAGATAAGAGCAGGAACTTATTCTTTCCAGAATTTATTTGGACCCTCTTCACTTTTTGTAATTTTATGTTGCAGTCTGATACTTTTTTCAGTACGTTACACTCGATACCTTGTAACAAGCAGTAAAAACTGAACTTTACACATTTGTATAAATTTTCTCCAAAGAAAAAAATGCAGAAACCTTGCATTCACATTATTGTTATTCAGACCAGCAACATGAAATTTTACTAGTGTACCTCTCTTTATTTTATTTTATTTTTTTGTTTATTGCTGCTCGGATGATTCTACACCTTGACTGTAACTCAGCACTTTTAAATTAAATTGTTCGGATGTGACTTAGGAAGGCACAGACCTCCAAAGGATGCCTCCAAGCTGACAAACACATCAGAGCAGCAGTCAAGCTGTGAAGTCTAAAGAAACTACTTGCAGAGCTCAGAGGTGTTGCAAGTCACAAGTCTGGGAGAATCTACAAAATGATTAGTTCTCTATATTTCTCAAATAGAGGGTTTGACACTTCCAGGACTGCAGCTAGTCTTTTAACTCAAGCAAAAATAGCATGAGCACCATCATATTCTCAGTGTTGGCTTCCTGTTTGTTTTAGATTTAAAGTTGAATTAATGACCTATGAGGTCCTGAACGGACAGCCTCCTGTACAAGCTGTCTGACCTGCTGCAGCCTCGTGTCCTGAATCTGAGGGTTTTTAACCATTTGTGTGTTCTTTACCTTCAGCCCTCTAGTCCAGTTCAGTCTTCTCCACTCCAAGTTCCACCTGTGCTCCGTGCCGACTCGAGCTCTGCTGCTGTCGGCCTACATCAAGTTTATTAACTTGTTCCCAGAAGTGAAAGGCACGATCCAAGATGTCCTGCGCTCCGACAGCCAGCTCCGCAACGCTGACGTGGAGCTTCAACAGAGGGCAGTCGAGTACCTGAGGCTCAGCTGCATCGCCAGTACGGACATACTGGTTAGTAGACCATGCAGCAGCAGTCTCACATGGAGGGTAGCTTTAATGTGAAAGTCTTTTAACAAAATGAAACTTTTTGAAATTCAGAAGTTTGTTTGCTGAATAAAGGAAACAATTACGAACCCTGTTTATTTTCTATGTCCTGCTTTATTGCCTCCGTTGCGTCTCCTCAGGCCACAGTCTTAGAGGAAATGCCTCCGTTTCCAGAAAAGGAGTCTTCAATTCTGGCCAAGCTGAAGAAGAAGAAGGGCTCCAGCAAACTGCCAGACCTGAACGATGCTCGCCGGAACATCAACGGCAGCACCAATCACACCGAGGACACCGAAACTGCAGAAAAGGTCACTGGAACGTAAATCACAAGTTGCTTTGTTGGTTGTTTAATAACGCAAACTGTTAAACTTTTGAAATTCAGTTAAATCTTTTTCTTAAAAAATGAAGATGGTTGTTCACAAAGTGAGCTAATATAGCTCATATTTGTCCAGTTATATAAATGTCATCATCCTCATTCATGCTAATCACATATCTTCAAACAAATCAATGAATCAGATTTTCTTTGCCAAATATACAGAGCTGTACACAGCATTATTCCTGGCAAAGCAAAAGTTAACAAGGGAGACTTCAGTGAGGAAAAACAGTTTTTGTGTCTGCTGATTTTATATAAATGATCACTTTCAAACAAATTTAGTCTTAACCTTAGTCAAAACAAACAGCTTGTGTTTAAACCAAGATAAAGCCATTGATTTGACACTATTTTTCAAAGATTTAACTTCTGAATAGACAAAAAATTGAGACAAAAGAACAGGCAGCAGTAGAGCAGCTGGACAGTCTGTTTATCTGGAATCATCACGTTTAAGAACTTCACAATACTGTGCAAAACATTTGATTCAACCCTCATTTTTTCCTAGTTTAAGAGTAAGTTTTGTTATGTTTTATTGGTCTTGAGCAACAATTTTTCAAGCTGTCTCAAGATGATCTATTTATGACTTTTTAAAATCAGTTTTCATTAAAATATATTAAAACCAGCTGTTCACAATGCCAAGATTTAAAGCAGATACAAGGACTGAAAATGAATAAAAACAGCAAAAGTAAAAAGAATAACTGAAGGTTTTGAAAATTGTTAAAAATTACTTTTAAAACCTTTCAAGAAAGTAGCTGCTTTGAACGAATTAAAAAAAAGAACAGCTAACATCTCACTTTTGAGTGTAAAGGGAAAACACTTGTTTCAGTCGAATCGTGTCTGATATCAAATCACTTTACTCAAATCAGATGAACCGATCAAGACAGAAGTTGAAATCTGTCCTGAGTCGGGCTGAATTTAGATTCTCTTTGTCATTCAATCATAACATCGGGGATCCACTGTAGAACGAAATTACGGTGCATATTAGCACACAACATAAACAGCTTGATAAACTGTAAAGTAATATAAAGTTCATAATGCTAAATTAAACAAAGTGTGTTAGGCAAATAAAAACAAAACAAATAATATAGTAATAAAAAATAAAATAAAGTAGAAATAGAGTGAGGTGGAATCCAGATCAAGATCGAGTTTGATGTAGTTTAAAGAAAAAGATGTAGTAAGGTGTGTGCATTTGCGAAATATATAAAATATGTGTGCAAAGATGAGGAGCAGGTAGATGAGWTACAGTTCAGGGAGTGTTTGATCAGCAGCTGTGCAATGAAAAATAATTCTGAGCAGGTAGATGAGATTGTAATTCAGACTTGGGTATTTATGCAGTGTTCATAAGTCTGATGGCGGTGGAGAAGAAGCTGTCACAGAACCTCACTATTTTGCAGGACAGGCTGCGGTATCTTCTGTCTGAGGGTAGGAAAGAGAACATGCTGTGACTGGGATGAGTGGGTCTTTGATGATTCTGGTTGTTCTCGACAGAAAGCGTTGTTTGGCCAGTTCCCCAAAAGGTGTCAGCGTGACCCCAATTACTGTATTGTCTCAGTTGACCTCAGCACTCTCCCCAGTGCCTTTCTGGCAGAGGCGTTGCTGCTCTCGCGCCACAGAGAGATGCAGCTGGTGAGCACGCTCTCATTGGTGGTGAGGATCGATGTGTTGAGGTGTGCTCTCTTGAGTCTGCGCAGGAAGTGAAGTCACTGGCAGGCCTTTCTCACGATGTAGTCGGTGTGCAGGAACCAGCTGAGAGTATTTAAAGTTGTCTGTTCGTTACCTTAGTGTGTTTGTTTCTCTTCCAGGTTTCCACACACAGTTTTACAGACAAACTGAATGTGAACTCCACCCCTTCAACAGGAGCCAGTCTGCTGGTGGACGTCTTCTCGGACGTCTCCAACACCCCTGCACCTAACGACGTGTCAGAGGAACATTTCCTCAGGTGGGTCTGCGCTGAAAGCTTTCCCAGGAAAACTCCAGTCATGATTTTAAACAAGCACAACCTCTTGTAGTTCTTAGAAATTAGATATCATTTAAGACTGTGGGGCGGGAGCTCAGCTTCAGACTGAGCTTCAGGGAGGAGCTATGTGCAAATAGGCGGTGCTCTGTACCATCAAGTGTTACCATCAGGTGTACCACAGGACTTCTCCTTTACAGAACTGAACTGACAGGATTAATGACTTTGCCTCAGAAGAGTTTGGGATAAAGTTTCTACTGTGTGCTTTAGGTTTGTGTGCAAGAACAACGGTGTTATTTTTGAAAACCAGCTTTTGCAGATTGGACTGAAGTCTGAGTACCGTCAGAACCTGGGTGAGTCACTTTACAGCTCTGTTTGCCTCCAGAGCTAGAAAGATATCTATCTTTTAAAGTATGTCCGACAAACCTGTGAGAGACCATCCAAACATAAATAAACTGAGATTTGAGAAAAAAAATTAAAGATGAAATCATGTTTAAATTTGATACGATAAAAAAAAAAGACTAACTCAGATGGTTGACGTTCCTTGTTCCTGCAGGTCGTATGTACGTGTTCTACGGCAACAAGACATCAACTCAGTTCCTAAGTTTCTCTTCATCTGTGTCGAGTAATGACCTCCTTCAGACTCATATCCTTTACGACTTCTTTTGACTTATTTCTTTAAGCCCAGGAGAATTTACCTTGTTTCTTCTTCACAACTGTTAATTAGGGATGGGCATTTCATTCTAAAATACTTGTAAGAACTCACTCTATGAAATTAAGACCAGCTCAATTCCAAACTGTAAGAACTCACGCAAGATCTTTGCGTTATGAAATCAAAGTGAAATGACAAGATATCAACTCTGATCATGAAAGTGAAATGAAAACTTGTGACCTGAACGTATTTCCAAAATAAAGTAATTTATTTTTAGATATATGAACAGGATTAAACATACAAACACTTATTAAAATTATTATATGAATAAATGACACAAGTTATATTTTCGACACATGAACTTCAACTCAGAGTTGACAAAAACAGTAAATTTCAGGTGTTGTAACTTTACTGGCTCGCTGCTTAACTAAGTTTTAAGTAAATGAGAGAATAAGGTAAAGATTTAGCTTTAAGAATAGGAGGGAAAAGAAAATTWGTGAATTTAGCACTGTTCTTTTTAAATACGGACCAGACCAGCACACAGCATGTCAGAACGAGACACCTCCGAGCTAGACTTCAGCGTCTTATCTCAGCAAACGTTCGTCTACCTTTGATGTCTTCAGACAGGCCGAACAGGCAGGCAGGTAGACGATTTTGAGAGTGACCGCTCCATGAAGTCCGCAGGTGGATAATGTCTCCATGACACCAGGGCTGAGGAGGGAGACTCCTGTCTCACCCCTAGCAAGCCTCAGCGGGCTATCGGTGCTGGCCGTCTCAGTAGTACAGTGCTTCTGGCATATTAGTAACATCCATGCAGGTGTCCAGAGATGGACATTCACCCCTCAGAGAGACTCAAGACAGAACCATCCGCTCCAACAAGACACGAACAACTGACTACTGTTAACCGTGAGAATAGGAAAAACATTAGTTTCTTGAGAGGAGACAGTGAGAAAGAAAAACAATCTGTTTTCTCACACTAGCTGCGGCCAGCTGCGAGTTGTTATCAGCAAAGAGAGACCTTGAAGTCTGCACAGACAAAAGTGTCTTAAAAATCACTTCACTGAGGTTATAAGTCACACCTTTGCACCAATGGATTAATAGTAAAAATTAATAGTTCACACTTATTAATCACTAAACCAATTTAAAAATGATAAAACCATGATTAATAAACCAGTACTAAGAAAAAACATTAAAACACATAATAACTCTTTTTTTTCTTCACAGTGTTATACTCTGGAATAAAGAGACATGCAAAGATTAATTCAATAAAACTTTGAGTAATGATATATTGATTATAACCTCTTCTAAAAGATTAAATGAAACAAAACATATAGAACATATTGTTCTATTCACTTAAAGAAAATAGAAACAAACATTAAAATGCATTTCTTCTTATAAGTGTAAAAGCAAATCAAAGACAAAAAAATAGAAATGAATATTTCACCAGGGTTACCCCTACATACTATTCAGACACACACATACAAAGGACTCACAGCCATTCATACACTTTTATACACACCTTTATTTTTCCTTTCAAAAACCAGTACACACAGTGTTTATTAACTGAAGCCATTAGTGATTTAAAAACTGATGGAAGTGCAGTTTGGTGCTAAGAAATGCTGTAAAAGCTGTAGCTAATTTGTGGCTGTAAAACTGTAACAGAAACAGAGAGGTGTTTTTTTAAGAAAAACACTTTAAAGCACTTTAAGAGTTGTCAAACAACGTGGTACACTGCTGGGAAAGAAGTAGTGCCACCCTGTTACCAGGTACTGGTGGAGGAAATTATTAAAAATCATTGTCCATCCCCCAAGAAGTGATTAATTCATGTTAGGATGCAGCAGATGTAAGTCTGCTGATGCTCCAGTTTAGTGTTGAATCCTTGACGGCTGCCTTCACAACTGAACATTCACACGAAGACTGTAGACCCGGTAATAGACGGCGGAGCTCAGGTCCAGCAGATCCTGAACATAGAGTGTCTGTCCGACTTCTCAGATGCACCCGTCCTCCACATTCAGTTCAGGTTGGCGTGTCGCTAGCTTAACGTTGGATTTCTGAAGGTGTTTGACTATTAAATATAAACTAACATCACTCTAACATGTGAGCAGATATGGAGGAGCGTTGCAGAACATCGCAGTGAAACTCCCTGTGATGCTGAACAAGTTCTTTCAGCCAACAGAGATGACATCCCAGGACTTCTTCCAGCGCTGGAAGCAGCTCGGAGCGTAAGGTTTCTTTTACGTCGTCATATTAGCAAAACGTCAGAGTCTGTGTTTTTTTTTTATTGTCCTCATTTCATCTTRTTCTGGATGATCAGTTTGGTTGCTTCTCTGTGTCGTCAGTCCTCAACAGGAGGTGCAGAAAATTTTCAAAGCCCAACACCAAATGGACTCTGACGTAGCCAAAGCAAAGGTACGAAAAATATATAGATGTTCTTTGGCATAAGCAGCTGTTTGCTCCTTGAATATAAAAGAACATCTGTCTCATAAATTCAGTCATCTGTGGAAATGATCTTAGAGACACGTAGAGCTTTCTTAATAAAATAGTTCAGATTATTTAACACAGGGTTCTCTGGAATGGTTGTAAACAATTAATATCATACCTATTGTTGATAACTTTTGATTCTCAGATTGGAGATAAAGAGTTTAATTCTGTCAGGATTAGTCCTGCCACAGAGCCAATACCAAAGTGAATTGCTCCTATTCTAAAATAACTCAGATCTCAAAACATCCTAGATGTTTCCAGGAGAAGCTACTTTTTTAAGCTCCCACACCGCCATCAATTTCCAACTACTCCATTATTCCACCAGAAATGATAGATTTCTGTAAGGTAATGTCAACGTTTGCATAACGGTTGTGACGTTTTCTAAACTGGAGTTGTTTTTAGGATAAAAGCAATGCATTTTGGTCCTGCTCAGACTAGCTGTTAGTTTCTCCATTAGCTAAACTGAGCTCAAAAGAGCTATCTACAACAGGTAAGGTATTTTCTATAGTTAAAAGTTTTACATAGTTTTAGATATATTTTTCCTTTCTCCACAAAACTTTAAATGTTTTTGTTCAAGACGTTTTGCAGTTTTCCTTCAAAGGTTTTTTATTTGTCCAACAATTATTCTGAAAGTTCAGTTACCATGTGGGTTTTTATTTATTTATTTTATTTTTATTCGGTCTTCATAGCCAATATTTGTACAATTATTATACTGTACCATAGGCAGTTTTCTGCCAGAGTTAGTTGATTAGTTGACCACTGGCTTCAAAATGACATCAAATCATTGGTCTGCTGTCCAAAAACTCCGCTCAAGTTTCATATTTTATTTGTTAGGCTTCTCTCTCTCCTCTGATTGGTCAGCCCCATCTGCTGGATCAGGTTCACACATTATTTAGCAGTAGTTCTGTTGAAATTCAAATTAAACAAAAACTTAAATTCAATACAAAAGTTTGAAACATTKTTATTTGCTCTAAAGTGTGTAACAAATAAATGTCCTGATGCATCTCAGTAATCCAGGTGGAAAAAATCAAAAAGAAAAAATAAGTAGGTCCTCTGGATGGGTTCTTCTTTAGTGAAACGTTTCGTCTCTCCTCCAAGAGACTGAAGAAGTCTCTTGGAGTCTCTTGGTCTGATGAGTTTCAGGTGAACTCAGCCTTATAAGCCCTGCCTCCACCTGGACAAACAGGTTAGTCATATGCAAAAGAGGGCCATCGACTAACAATAAGCTTGATTGGTGATTGACTTGATTGATTGACTGATGTCTCAGTTTCGGATGGAGGATGGTTGGAAACTGACGTGTATCTCAAACCCACCCATACAGACCAGTATTTGCGTTTTGATTCTCATCACCCACTGGAACACAAGTTAGAAGTCATCAGAACTCTGTACCACAGAGCAGACAGTGTCCACACAAACACAGGAGCCAGGGAGAAAGAAAAGTCACACACAAGACAGGCTCTGGAGCAGTGTGGTTATCCTAACTGGGCTTTTCTGAAAGCAGACAAGAAACCCAAACAGGATTCCAGCCAACAACCAGCTGAAAATGAAGACCCTAAACCCAGACCCAAACCAGTCGTCATTCCATATGTGACGAGTTTCAGAGAAACTGAGACGTTTATTCTCTAAACATGATGTCCCAGTGGCTTTCAAACCCCAAAACACGTTACGACAAAGATTAGTTCACCCCAAAGATCCAGTTCCCCGGCAAAAACAGAGTAATATAGTATATGCTGTTAAGTGTCAGGAGGACTGTGATCAGTCATACATTGGGGAAACAAAACAGCCACTGTTCAAAAGAATGAGCCAGCACAGACGAGCTAATTCATTGGGTCAGGACTCTGCAGTTTACACTCATCTACAGGCCAGCGGTCACTCTTTCAGGGATAAAGATGTTCTCATCCTTGACAGAGAGGAATTGGTTTGAGAGAGGAGTAAAGGAAGCCATCTTTGTGAAGGAAAACCGTCCACCATTAAACAGAGGTGGAGGCCTTCGTGTCCAGTTGTCCTCCACCTACAACGCTGTTATTGCAAGTGTGACTCAGCCCCCTGTGAGCAAAAGGTGTGAATCAGGGCCCCAATGATACTCAACACAAAGGGGAAAGAGGGACAAAAACAAGGGGACATTGAACCCCGCCTGCATTCACTACATACACATAACACGACACGGGTCAGGTGATGGGGCACATGACCCTCTATGAACAATAGAGCTAATCAAGCCTATTGTTAAGCGTTGGCCCTCTTTTGCATGTGACTAACCTGTTTGTCCATGTGGAAGCAGGGCATATAAGGCTGAGTTCACCTGAAACTCCTCAGACTGAAGAAGTCTCTTGGAGGAGAGACGAAACATTTCACTAAAGAAGAACCCATCCAGAGGACCTACTTATTTTTTTTCTTTTTGATGTAACAAATAAWCACCAATAAAGTCAACACCTCTGTTTGGTTGTTCCAAGTCCTCCTGTAGAGGAGAAGGGAGGCACAAGACGTAATGTAGAAACCAGGTCAAGTTCTCATTTTGAGTTTTTTGGGAGTACTGTATTACCATTAGGTTCAGATGTTTTTACTCTTTTAAACACACCAAAAYCCTGCTTTACAATCCCCACGTTCTCTTCCTTGGATTCTTTCAGCTGTTGGGCTTCGGTGTAGCCCTGCTGGACGGAGTGGATCCAAATCCTGCCAACTTTGTTGGAGCTGGGATCATTCACAGTAAAACCACTCAGGTGGGCTGCCTGATCAGGCTGGAGCCCAACACACAAGCACAGGTAAACACACACACACACACACACACACACACACACACACAC